CCGGTAAACAGCGAGGGGGGACTTGATCTTGGAAAACGATAGACCATTGCGCCGACACTCTCGTTACCACCGGTGCATCGACCTGCATCGCGGTGATCGTCAAAAGTGTCTGGACGATGCGACGGCGTTGGCCTTTAAGCGGGTCGACGAAACCTGAAATTCTCGACGTCCTTGATGCTGCCGCTGCGGCACACGCGAGCGGCAGTATATTGACGCTAATTTCAGCTGATTAAAAAAAAAAGAGATCGTTTTGTCACGATTCACTTTTATGACATCGCAATTTACTTCGAATCGCTCGATAGGATTCGACGGAGACGGTCAAGTTTTCGCCATTTGTATACCATCTGAAATTGTTCGAGTATAACTTGGTTTCTTCTTCATCTCTTCGATGAACGCGAGGCCATTCTTGAAAGGCAGCGAAATATATATATTTAGTTAATTCCATTTATCTCTCCTGATTTGTCATTATTGTGCAAATACATGATATTATATGATAAATTAAAAATGACGATAGTCTGCAAATATCATTTCTCTACTCATTATTTATCAAAAGGAACATTAATTATCAAAAATATTCTTTTCTCTCATATTAAATTTTTCAATTAAAAAAGGTTTGTAGATTTATTAATTCAATTGCACCTCACACACTCGTGGATCATTTTTATACAAGTTCGAGAAAGAAACAAATTAACAGACGCGAACATTGATGTAATGACACGATGATCTACAATCGATTATAGAAAAGTCGTAGTTCCATTCGGACTTGGCATACCTCAGCACTGACTCAACGATGCGGTCAGAAGCGCGCGTGTAAAATAAGCGTTACAACCAATCGAGCTTCCATATGTACACACTGTAGCCGACTATTCCCGCTTAGCTTATTACAAACGCGTAACACTGACGTAAGATGTCCGCAATTTTCCCGACGACTTGTTTTCCTCCTTCGCGCGCGCGGGAGAGTGGGTGTGGGTGGAATTTCATTTTTTCTTCACGCATACAGCAATTCTGCTCCTGCTACGCAGTATCCTTGTATCTCGCTTTTTTTTATTCTACATTATTATTTACGCATCTACCGTTTGTACAGTTTTATCGTTGCAAATTTGTCACATCCCTCCTTCAGTCATCATGTATCTTCGGTAATAAATTTCCAAAAAGATTGGAATTTTATTTGTCAGTGTCACAAATATATAATTTTTTTCCAAAAAATACTGTCGAAGAAAATTAAACAAGACGACAAAAAATCAATCGTTTGTTTTCTGCGCTTGTAATCTGTATATTTTTTTATTTACAATGGTAATATACACACATTGACAAACAGCCGTTGAATCCTGCTCGGGATGCATCCTTTTTTTATATTTATTTAACGAGGGATTATCCGCGATTGTAGATGAGGCACGTTTTTCTCATTAAATAGACACAATATGATAATACGTTTGTTCTCTGCGCTTGTAAATCTGTGCAATTTTTTAAATTTACAATGGTTATATACATATATTGGCAAAGAACCGTTGGATCTTGCTGGGGATGCATCCTTTTTTCCTGTTTAACGAGGGGTTGTCCGCGATTGAATAGATTAGGCATGTTTTTTTCACACAATACGATAATAAATATATCGTTTGTTCTCTGCGCTTGTAATCTGTGCATTTTTTAATTTACAATGATTATATACACATATTGACAAAGAGTCGTTGAATCCTGCTCGGGATGCATCCATTATTTTTTGTTTATTGAACGATTTATTCGTGATGGAATAGATTAGGCATGTCCGAGCAGACCCGGGACCGGCATGTCGCACAGATGCGAAGTACTCTCACTTTTATCGGTCTCCTTGAAGGAAGTTCTGCCGGTCGTCGACAGTTTTGCTCTGCATCCGCGGAGAATTACAGTTAGCTTCGCAAGGACGAGCCGACGGCCTCTCCCGTTAAGAGTGACGGAACGTTGTATGAACGGACCGTTTACATTATCATCAACTTGTCACGACCCGCGCTCCTGAAAGAGGACTTTTTTGCATGTTAAATTAATGCAATATTCATAAAAATATAATTTAAAAATCAAAAAATCACGGCAACGATATCAGGAGAGCGGTATTTAATAATTTATGATTATTAAAAATTCAAGCGAGCTTAAAACTAGTATCATTTCTTCAAGAAAGATAAATTAATAAGGAAAATATAAAACCTACCAATATGCACATTCGTGAATTTTGAAACAAAATAATTTCCAACAATGTGTGTTTAAAAGACATATTTATATTTGCTTATCTATTTAATTTTGTGTAATATTTCGCGATCAGCTGTATCTCAACTGTAGTAATGAGAGAAATGATCCTAATAGTGTTCTAATTTGTAAAGAGCAATTTTCAATCCATTTAATATTCATCTCGACAAGTCATTAAAGTCTTCCACGATTATCGTATTGACTCATCTGTCGAATCTTGCAATTGGAAAATCATTTGCAATTAACTGCACGATAAAGACGTTAAACCTTCGCGAGTAGTAAACGAAGACTCTGCACATCTATTGCAAAATGCTTACTTTAATATAATATTTGGTATAAGAGATCTTTTTAATCTCTATTTCTCTTCTCTCGCAGAATCGTGCTCGCAGATTCCTCAGGAATCTTATGCATAATTCGGAGATTAGCTAAGGACTATTATCGAATACTAGTCGAAACACTTAGAGTATGTGATCGACAGCGCTATTCCGGTATTTTAATGATCTCGCCTTAATAAAACGCGCGATCGATCGGTCGACTGTATTTGGACAGGACGACTATCGCGCGCGTCGCCTTCTCGCGCTGCATTCATCGGAGTTTTTACCGGCCGAAGTGGAATGACCGGCCCTGAAACGTTCGGACGCATGTATGCATTATCCGTCCTCTCGTCCGGTTTATTTCTGGCGGTTCGCGAATTCGTGGTGAGCGCGCTCCTCTCCGTGCCGTGCCCGAGAGTCCGAGTGATGTCATCCCTTGAAATCACCGCGGCGGGGTGTTTAGTTGCGTAAGAATCTCAACCGGCAAAGAGAGCCTCATTGTTTGTAGCTTCGCGTCCGTTTGTAGTCGCGCAGATGATGATGCATCGCAAAGATGAGAGGCAATGTTACTACAAATTACTACAAAGTTGCAACCAACTGTTCCCAGCTTTTTCTTTTACGAATCCTTTCTTAAAGATTATTATCTCAGTGCTCTTTTTTTGAAAATTGTAAATTAAAATATTAAACAAAAAAAATGAAATGCAATACGCAGGTTTGCTAAGATGTAGAATCTATTTCTTTATTTTACAGCTTATTTTTTATATAAAATATGCAATCAATAAATATATTATTTAAATCTCTAAATTACCGTGATATTTTTAAGTGGATTTCTCAAAAGATTAAAATATTACAAAGTATAAAATATAAATAATGAATAGAAATGTATAATATTTGTCTTTGAAATATAAGATTTATTTGTTCAAAGGTTCAATTATGTTATAATGATTTTTCAATTCTCTCTATTTTATTGCGAACATAATTTAAAATCCATCAAGCAGAGAGAGAGAGAAAGAGAGAGAGAGAGATTACCGCGTACTCGCGAGATCCCGGAAAGTTTTCTTGGCGTCATTTAAATACGACACTGACCTATCGACAGCGCTGCCTCTTAGAACAAGTTGCGAATGATAAATAGTACCGCAAACACATCATGCGATAACCTATTTGTACCCTGACGTATATACTTTTATTACCTCTTCTCTTGACGTTCGCGAGCGCATATATCATGACGAATTGCAAATTCGCAGAAACGATCGTCTCTCCCTCGAGATTTCGCTTTCGTACCTCTTCGTGTACGAAACCGAAAGTCATCATCATCATAGATCAGCAACAGTCGCTATTAAAGACCTCGCTGCGCTTCTATATATTTATTTCTCTTGCTCCCTTACATAATTGACAAAATTATCAATTTACAAGTAAAAAAATGACAACCCAACTTATCGTTTAATAAATTACGCGTCAAAGATTTCGATCTGTATTCCTGTGGCGCACCGACCGTAAACCTCGATTATTCGGTCTCATTGAACGATGATCAGGATTCCGAGATCATTCTCGCGCGTGTGATCTGGCTGCGAAATCGGATGTACATATACGCGACACACCTTTCACTGTCGTGGCGCAAATTTTTCTATTACCTCTTTAAAGAGCATAATAAAAAAACTTGTTTGAATCTGCATTGCAATAAAAGAAAGATACCTACATAATATCTGTTCCGATCAGGCTAAGTAAATATAATCGATAGTCGACATTTTATCTATATCTACACATCAAGTAGTCGCATAATAACTTATCTTATTGTTAGACTTTCTGTACTGAAAACAGAGAAAGAGAGAGATAAAATGTTTGATAAGAATGATATAAAGTTTTATGTTATACACATACATATTTAATATATGAATTTTGTTTATTAATATATAAAATAATATAATGGAGAAAAATGTACACAGAGAGAGAGAGAGAGAGAGAGAGAGAGAGAGAGAGGTAGAGGAAAAATAGATGGAATAAATGTTTGAAAAATGCAAAAGAAATCGTATAATAAATAACGTGAATGAACACTTTGTCGCTATCGCCGTCACGCTTAATCAGCAATCGCTATTAATCGCCGATCGCCGTACCTGGTTTTATACCGCGAATATACCGAAGGGAGGGACGTCGAGAATGGGCGCGGTGAGAGATTATTGTTTATTCATTCGCGAGGATTATCCTTCGGTGAGTTCAGTGGCTGCGCCTACTTACGGAATGACTGTAATCCTCTCTCGCTATTTTTTATACCCTCCCACCAGGAGTGCGGCTTCTACGCATACAGGAGGAACGCGATGGACATATGTTCGGGTAGTGGCATTATTTACGATCGTAGAACGGACAAAGAATGTCTTTGTGAAAAGAGAAGAACAAAAAAAAGATACAAAAAGTAAAGAGAAAATTGAAAAAAAAAGGTTCTCATTTTTCTTCATTCCTTTATGCGCTTGACAGGTCTCATTTGCGCCCAGGGTGATCTCTGGAGGGATCAACGAAAATTTGTAGTTGGATGTATGAACAATTTCGGCATGTTGAAGTTACCCGGTGCTAAGAGAGACAGGATGGAGGAAAGGATTATCAAGGCCGTGAACGAATGCATATCGGTAAATTAACGTTTAGCGTTAGTAAGAAGTTAGTTAAATGGATATTTCAGATCATTATATTGCGTAAAAATCTGCCTCTAAACGAGTATACCGATGACCCAAACATTTTATTCCAAAAGGAATAGCGACGCGAATTAACACAAATTCTTGCGCGAGTTATCATTTATTTATCTGGAAATGTCATTGCATTTAATGAAGCTATTAATTTCTGTGACATTTCGACATGCTATCAACGATGACGTTTAAGAATTTAAATGTAAAAATCGTTGCTATACTGAAGAGAAAAAATTGCTCGATAATTCATTGCACTAAGCACAGATGTAATGCTTTACAAAATATAAGAAAATGTTCCATATTAATTCTTAATTAACGGAGAACGAAACAGGTAGAAATTTTTCTCATCGATTCTTTAGAAACTAAAAGATCGCTCTACGGAAGACGGTATCGATCCAATGGAGACGCTTCATCACTGCGTGGGAAATTTGATAAACGACGTCGTTTTCGGCAAGATTTACGAGGAGGACGACGAGGTGTGGAAATGGCTCAGACATTTACAGGAGGAAGGAGTCAAGCATATCGGAGTCGCAGGGCCGCTCAACTTTTTGCCGCTCCTCAGGTACGGCTTTATCCCTGACAAAGATCCTTCGAAGATCCTTCCCAATCGACTGCTATTTCTATAATGACGCGCGATATGTTTTGCATCTCGCTAACGGAAGGTAAACCGCATTACCTTGCGGAAAAAAAAGCGATTTGATCCGCACGACCAATTAACACGTCAATGATGAGGCAATGATTCATTTAACGTCTATGCAAATGCCGTGTTTTTTTATTGAAAGCGGTGGCTTTTGAACGATAAAAGGATATGGAAGGATAGATCATTCTTTTTTTGCATATATGCAAACGAAATGATGAATTAAAAAATAATCTTGATAGTAAATAATAACTCTGTAAAAAAATGACGCAAAAACAATTTGCTCGTACTGATTTAATGCATCAGCTAAATAAAAAATAGTAAAGTGCACTCTAGACAAGAAGCTATAATTATAAAATATATAATTAACTTATTCCAATAAAAGTTGTAATGCGCGGAATGTAAAAACTTTTTCACACATAAATATTTATTTCATCTAAATAAAAACGAATGTATTTATACTATTTATTACATATATTAATAATTAAATTATTTATATTTTTATAGATATATGTAAGTAAAATATATTTAAAGATATTCAGCTGATTTTTTTATATTAAAATTAACGCGATAAAGAACAGTTTTATCTATATTTAAAAATATGAAAATTAATTTAAATTTATATGAGAGTCATAAAAATAAATTTAAAAAATGTTGGGTTTTTTCAACTGTTCAGATTTTTACCACGATATGGCAAAATAATGACGTCAATTATCGATGGCAAACTGAAAACACATCAGATATATCAAACGTTTATCGATGAGCATCGTGCTCGGCCCGACAAGACAGATAACTTTCTTGCGGCATTCGACAATGTAATGAGACTCAATGCGGATAATCCTGGACACTTTACTCAACCACAATTTTATCATCTCTTGGCCGATATGTTCGGCGCAGGCACCGATACGACTCTTACAACCTTTCGTTGGTTTTTACTCTTCATGGCGATACATCCAGACGAACAAGTATTAGATACTTTTAAATAAATGTTATTTTTTATGAAGAGTTTCGATTTACCGTACGGTTTCAGCCGAATTTTATATATCTTTATTTACCTAGAAAAAAATTCATGACGAAATGAACGAATTGTTGGGACAAAAGCTGCCCAGTTTGGAAGACAAACTTGTTTTAATTCGACTCGAAGCTGCCATCTCAGAGACACAAAGATTGCGAAGCGTCACTCCGCTTGGAATTCCTCACGGAACACTCGAGGTAACTATAACAATATTAAGTAGAGTAAGAAAATTAATACAATTTTTATATGTATATTCAGTTCGTAAGATCCAATATATCCGATAATTGGATTGTGTTGGTTTTTGTATATGTATATAATAATTATAATACTTGCAAATCGAGAATATAATTTTTGTCGGCGACAAACAATCGCAGTTAACTCTGTTATTTTTGCACATAACAAATGAAAATTAAAATAAACAATGCGAAATAACACATTGCATCCAGGATACAAAAATAGGCGATTACGACATACCGAAAGGCACTATGGTTATTCCGCTGCAATGGGCTATTCATACTAACCCTTTAGTCTGGCACGACCCGCTCTCTTTCAAAGTTGACAGATTTATCGCTGAAGATGGAACTCTTGCCAAACCGAAAGCATTTTTGCCCTTTCAAACGGGTAAGCTATAGAAATGCGAAACGCAGATCGAAAATAGACGATTTCGTTTAAATATTAACTAATATGTGTATTGTGTTTTATCTTAAGGTAAACGTATGTGCATCGGTGATGAATTTGCCAGGATGATATTATTTCTCTTTGCCGCAAGGATTCTTCACTCATTTGTTATCTCTGTACCACCCGGTACCTGCATCGATCTGGAGGGTGAATGCGGAATCACTTTGGTTCCAAAACCGCATCGATTAGTTTTCACGTTGCGGGAATAAATTTACATATAGTAATATTATTCTTATACTGATTAAATAATACTACAAATTATATATATACAAAACTAAATATATATTTACAAATTTCATGAAAATATATATACACTTTATATTTTCTATATATATGTATAATGTATCATTCGTACAAAAATAAATAATAATAAAAATATTTTTCTTTTACTAAATCCTACTACTAATATATAAATTATAATGCGTTCTTTATTATTACGTTTCATATTTTTTAATCAAATTTATGCATAAATGCTTCTACCAAAATAATTTTTCAATGAAATTTATTTAATTGAGGACCAATGATCATTTATATTATATAGTTACGCATTAATAATTAATATTATATTGATATGCACACAATGAGACTCATATTGTGTTAGTAAAATTTATTAAAAATCAAGATTTTATTTTATTTTCCTTTTCTCTGAAGACTTACTTTTATCAAATTATAACAAGTTGCGGCACAAAAATTGTTGAAATACATGATTTTAATTAATTTTAAACATCTGTAACTGATTACGATTACTTGCTGTTTTGCCTGTTTACTTGCAACAAGTTGTACGTCAAACTTTTTGTATGTATACATTTTTCACAAGGCAGATATTAATGAGATCGGTAGCTAACGTCATACAAGATGTCAGATATTCGCGTGCCGGTTTATAATCTGATTGCGATAATCTCGGCAGTTAAATATTTCGCCATCGCCAAATATTTTAACATGCAGATATACAAGAAAAAAAGAGTGTTTTTATTAAAGCGAGGCGAGTCGCGAGACGGAGAAAATATTCACCCTTTGAAAATGGAGCGACATTTATTCGCCCGCATCTCGCGACTTTTATATTTTATATCAGGTGCATGTTTACTACCAATGCACGCTCTTAATATGGAATCATACGCCGTTAAAATGTCAACCGCGATCACGGATTATTGGGAGATGATTTTACATAAATCGCCCGCGCGTCCCTTCGCTTCGCTCCTCTCTTTCTCTCTCTCTCTCTCTTCTTGCACATCTCGCATCAGATTCGTGAAATTCCGTCATCGTTATGCAACACGCATTTTTTCTTCTCAATATAGTGGCCTTGGATAAATTATAAGAGCGCACCGTTCACCAGAAGCTACCGAAATGTTGATTGCGTTTCCTTCTATTAATTGTCGAGGCACACAGAAAAACGCTAAGGAATATATATAAAAAAAAAAGAAACCAAGAATTTCGACTTTTTTTGAAGAGCACAGAAAAGGTCGAGGCTCTTGAATGATGAGTGCATTCGAAGGCCTCATCCTGCTTCTTACTCATGTTAACATATTTATGCATTTTAAATGTCAGTCAAACGTTCGAACAACGCGTAAAATTATGCAATCAACGTAAAATTTGTAAAAAATTTACTTATAAATAGTTAATCTTATACACCTTGCTTGGCAGAAATTCTGCTAATTTAAATTCACAGATTATATTCTCGTCTATTTTTATCTATTCTTATCATATGTGTACATAAAGAGGATTCTATTTTTTGTATCTTAGTTTCGGCAAAATATTCGAAATAAATTATCATTTTCAGTGGATGGATCAGCTGTTTGCAATAACAATAGTCCGCAATATGATAAATTATCGATCAGTTCGCCATTGCTATACAGTTTACATAATATAGAAAATATGACAAACGTCAGTCTCGATTCTTCCGAGGACAATCACAGTTAACTTTGAATGCTTCTTCTAACAGATTACCTCGCGATGGCCCAATGCCCAGTGCCACGTTAATCAAGAGAAAGATGAGGAAACTCAAACGAACCGAGCTATAAAAAGAAGTTGCTCTATCAACACACTTTCAACTTTGTACTGGGTAGTAAAAAAAAAAGCCACAAACGCCTCTTCCTGCTTCATTGAGCCAAGCCTTGAAGCAACGGTTCTTCAACTTTCTGTCTTCTGTATACGGCAGCCAGTTGGCTACTCGACCGACTCTTGGGCGACGAAAATGCGACGAAAAGTGACATATATATACCAAAGCGTAAAGCATAAAGGCCCTATTACTGGGTCAGCGCAATACAATGCAGCAACACGCGGCTACATGACTGCACATGGCGCACACGCGCATCTGGGATACCTACATATATCTGCGTTCTCATGCGCACGTAAGATATATTCTGTGATGGCAGGAAATGCGCCATTATCACAATGTATGTACGTCCCCGGGACGTGCTGACAGCCGGCTGAGCTGACCTTACGTAACTTGTGTGCGGTTTGGGGCCACTTGACTTTCGTGTCATTAACCTTACCTTACGAACGTAATGTGTACCCGACGACGATATTTCGTTAGAAACTCAGAGCGCGCGAGTTTCTCTTATGTAAGCGCTCGTCTCTCGCATTTGCGCGATGCCCCGCGAATTTTATTATCTCCTTCGTATGTCTGCGCGAGTAAACACATTACTTGTGACACAAAAGATCTATCAACTTTTCTAATCTTTCATTTGCTTCTATGGATGGAAATTGATGAGATTTTTATATTAATAAAAAAGCATCAGATTTGACAAAAGTCAGCTGATATATTGTATTGTATAATAATACTCTAACAATATAAATCTTAATTTAAAAATTACTAATTGGAAATTTTGACTATCTTAAAATGTTTTCTCGCGAATAACACGACAATTTCTTCGTCTTCACATTTTTTTTTCTAATTTGGCACTATTATAGCTTGCTTTTTAATCATCCAGTCAAACTCGCCAACCAGCGGGCTTCATATATCTATTCGTGCCTATTTTTAGCCACAGAATCGTGGACTGCCTGGTTGTGTAAATTGAAAAAAGTGTACTACCAAATGCGAGAATACTGAACGGACCAGTGGAAGAGAAAGCTAGGCCCAGCTCAGTCCTCTTTCGTAGGCCTCGAGCAAAAGTTCTCGAAATATTGAGCGGCAGGAAGGGATGAGCGCGCGATCACAGAGATCAGAGTCGAAGGCCGATGGTGCAGCCGAGGAACCAAAAGTTTTTTTACTCATCTTTAAGAATCCGGTTCTTCGAGGCTGCAGTTTTCAGATGAAATTTTTCGCGGGAACGATCAATGAAGAATTCAACTTTTTGAAATACACCAAAGTCCGAGATATATCTTTCTCTTCCCTCTCCCTTCTTTCTCTCTCTCTCTCTCTCGCTCTTTCTCTTCAGAATCTGTGATATGAATTTCCTTACATAATAAGCGGTTGGATTGTTGGGGATAAATGAGCTATTAGATTGATATTTCAACTGCAAAACATCTTTATTTCATAGAAAAAAAAGAAACATTAAATAACACAGGTCGACGGGTGAACACAATGCGGCATTCTGCAATTCATGCGTGCTACGTGCTAAGATTAATTAACACCCTATCGGATAACTCGGGCGAAGAGAAAATTAAACTCTGCGCGCGCGCGGCATCGGATCTCTGGTATGGTGGAAGCGAATCAGTCGTCAAATATAAAAGAATACATAGCGTATTTCAGGGTTTTTTGGACTAAAAAAAGTTCCTCTACGTCTCTAGAACGAGATCCACCGCGCGCGCTCATTGTCGGTTCTAGGATGCACAGCCTGGGATACCTTTGGGAAATCGGATTGAGACGACGTCACAATGAGAATCGCCGACCGTACATCCCGGATCTCTTGGATTCACAGCCTCAGCCCGCACTCGCGCACCGATAACAGTGCCGATCGATGTTCTTTCAGTCTATTTCCGAACGATCGGCCACGTCGCGGCGGATGTCGCAACGGAATCTCACAACGACTTTCACGAAAATCGTTTTCGACCGATTTACATCGGCGTCGACAGGCACACCAAGTCTGCCTCGTATATCGCTAGAAAAAAGTGGACGAAACCGCGGATATCGGCGCGAGTGGTCTCGGGTACAAGGACAGTCTCGCATTCTCGTCAAACGGCACGTCGACCAGCTATATATCGTTAAATATACGTATACTGCATACAAGCTAAACGCATGTCAACGCGCTCATGCACGATCAAATGGATAATCTATTTACAAATGCAAATATGTTTTCTCACACTCTCTCTTTCTCACGTTATTTTTCTCTGTTCACAATTTTTCTTTACTTAATAGCGGATTGTTATCGTTATCGTGGACGAAAAAGGGACATCGAATCGCCATCCTCGTTCATCCGCGGAGATCTATGGGAGATAGACGGTGTTTGCGATTGTGATGACAGCATCTTTAGATAAGTAACATATCTGTCGAAACTGAAGCGCGAAAGGTAAGATATGTCTGAGATGTCTTTGATTTGAAGTAATTGTATTGTAATAGAATGAAGATACCTCGTTTACTCACGAGACACAAAAATAATTTGACACATCGAAAACCCGTCTATCTCACCGACTATTTAAATTAAAAACTAATAAATACGAGGCTTAAAGATTAAAGGGAAACGGAGCAGAGTTACGTCGCAAAGCAATAAATATTCATGAAGAAAATCGGAGCTATGAAGGGTGAACGTAAGGAGAGGAGGTAGGGAGAAATGATTCGAACCGTAGGCTCCTTTTGTACTCTAACCCTTAGCTGAGGAGGATTTTTGTTTTTCTTCGATCATCTGATCGATTTTTGTTTATGCTATTTTCCAAAAAAATTAATTTTGCAGCTAAAAAAGATTATATTCGCTAATTCATTATTCTTATGATTCTAACGCCGATAAAATAATTATTAAAAATTTTTAATACAATTATAATAAAATTGAGCAATATCAATTTTTCAATGATGCCCCCATTGACGTGACTATTTTTCTTTCTCTTTAGAAACTTTCTTTAGATCAAATCTTTAAATTTTGTAAAAAGAAGCCACGTTTCTGGTATGGCGAGGTCATATTCACCTCGAATTAAAAAAATATAATACAAGAAATTTTGGATATAGATATTTTGTGTGAGACTTGGATTTTATAAAAATGATAAAAAACATTTGTTAGTAGTGATAGATTAATTTTTAAGAATTGGGAATGGTGTCTTATAAGATCTCGCCGTACCAAATTAAATGATGGAAATGCACCGATGAGCAATGAAAGACGTTTAAAACTGAACTTTTTCTTTATAACTAACTTACTGATTTTCTCTCTCTCTCTCTCTCTCTCTCTCTCTCTCTCTTTCTCTCTCTAGTAGGTATAAAATTATTTAGTAATTTATCAATTTTCTCGGAGGATCATCTCAACTCGTTTCAAATTATATACTAGGAAGACTATTTTAGATATCGGAAGAACGATCGATCATGCAATACACACACACATACACACACACGCACACATATTTTTCTAGGAAAAGAATTTTATTTCTAAGGAGAATATAGGAATTAATATCTCAAGTAGGGATAATTTCTAAATAAGTCTTAGCAATGTGCTAAGCAAAATTTTGTACCTCGTGCATTACTATAAGACAGTGAAAAATTTTTTTTTAATTTCGCAATTTTAATTGCACATACCCGCGATCGGCTCTCCTAATTTCTAATTTCTTTTTAAGTTATTTTTAATTTCTAAGACCTAATATATATGTATATAATTTTGATTAAAATTAAACTAAAAATGTCAATTTTTAATATATTTTTGTAAAAGAAATAATATCATATAAAATTTGTTTTCGTCTAAGATATGTAGTATTAAAACCCAAATATAAAATGTTCTACTCTAAAATCAACCCTCGATCGTTCTCCGATAATTAACATGCAAACACACAATCTTACGGGACTCTACCTCGGCGGATGCGCGCGTACATGGATGATCCCGTGTCGCAAAGTCTCTCTTGTTTTGTTGGATCTTTCTGCGGCAATAGGAACAACTACCGTGCCCGTAAATTCTGGAGCCCGCTGAAGACTCAATGGCTGCCGACGTTGCGCACGGGTACGTCATTAACCTCGGCATTGTTCAGAAAGTCGATCAGATTGTCTCTGTGCACCAGGCAAATATCGAAAGGATCCGGTGATATCGTGATGCCGGCGTTTTCCCGCAAACTCGGCAATTCTTTGCCTTCGGGAGGTCTTAGATCGAACATGTGCATCAACGAGCTGAAGTACAGGAAAAGCTCCATGCGAGCCAGCTGGAAACCCAGACACTCCCGTTTACCGGTCCCGAACGGCAAATAGGGCTTCTTCTGGTTCTCAAACTCACCATTGTTGAGGAAGCGGGAGGGTTCGAAAGCTTCCGGGTTTTCCCAGTTTTTCGAATCCATGTTTACCGCGTATAATAGAGGTACAACTTCAGTACCAGCCGGTATTGTGTAGCCGTTTACAATGACATTTCTGCAACACGAAGAGACGGATTGTTTCATCAGTAATCGATCGATCGAATCGGCAGTTGGAGGTCGAGGAAAAAAAAGCAAAAAAATATATTTTTCGTTACTAATAATTTCCTGAAGAAGCAATACGTAGTAGTACATGGCAGGTTTCACGCAATGAGTTTGATTAGTCACACATTTCAGCGTCAACTTGTACGGGGTACTAATCTATCGGTGAAGTCGGGCACTAACTTGACTTTTTACGCGCACGCACGTGCGCTCGTCACGCTCTTTCTGGCCACGTTCTCCGCGAAGAAGTGAAATTGTGCCGCCCGCGCAGTTTCTAACGCCGTTGCTTTCATGCGCGATCATTCCTAACGAGTTATTCTCGATATGTCGCGAGTCGAATATACACCTGTTTGACGTAGAATAGGCTCTTTGTCCGTACCGGTGTAACGGTGTCGTCGACCTCTCGAAGTCGCTTCGAACCAAAGGCGGGGCGGCCTGGCCGAAAAGCAGCCAGAGGAGCCACGCACCTTTGCTTTCACTTTTGCTCGCCGAATATAATCGTCCAAAATGATCGCGAGATTCTGATATGCCAGACACGGAAAGCCGTCTGAGGAGGAAGGCGTTGTGAAACCCGCTCTTAGCTCACGTAAAGGCAGAGAGAAAGGGAAAGGGCGCCGTGCGCCCGTGCATAGGATAAGTCGGATAAGAGAATAGATGGGGGAGAAGATGATCGAAAGATATGTATATTACGTGGGAAAATTAAAATAAATTGTTTGAGATTAATTTACCGTGTGGTGGCGTGTGTGGTTCCAAGCGGTACAACACTGATTCTGCGTAGAACCTCTTCAATGGTCGCCTGGGTGATCGGAAGCTTGGGACGATCCGCGAATGTAGGCAGTCTCTTTCTTCCTACCACCGCGTCCAATTCGTCTTGCACCGCCTTTGCCTTATCCGGATTATGCATCATTAGAAGTAGCGACCATTCCAGAGTAGTTTTCACAGTTTCCATCCCGGCGGAGAAGAGATCGCCCAGAATCTGCTGCATCTGACGATCTGTATAAAAGAAGAGAACAGTCTTTACAAAAAGCGTTTGCATTATAAATGCATTAAACGTAGAAACAGCGGTAAAAAATATCGAGATTTCCAAGTATCGATTGCTACTCACCATGATTTTTTCCTTCGAAAAGCTTTTTCTCTCGATTTTCATTCCTGGCTTGTTCAATCTCGGTCAAATAATTGTCCACGAGATGACGCGTGGTATTTTCGTTGTAGGTCCTTCTCTGCTCATCGATAGTATCTTGAAAGAATTGTGCCATATCCATCCGATTCTGCGAGATCTGCTTTTGAACTTCTTTCACGGAAGGCCAGCATTCCATAAACGGCATATAGTTGGCGGCCGACACTTTGGCAAAGAGCTTGAATCCCTCCTCGATGTGGCTCATGAATTTTTTGAATCGCAAGTCGTCGCGATGGAAACGCACTCCCATTATGAGATTGCAGATCACGTTACTGATCGACATACCGAGGGAATACGAGATATTTGTGGAACGTCCGTGTCGACTCGCACACCATTGTATAAACAATGTGACCTCGGACTAAATCAAAATATTACAGTCATTTAATTATCGAGCCTTAAATTTTGTCGAAATTTTTTTATCTTGTATGCGGCAAAAAAATTGTACCATTATCGCGTAAATTAATGAAAAATAAATTTAAAAGTAAAAATCATTCTTTCGCTATAAATAAAAAACGTTTCACGTATTTTTTTTTTGTAATTATAGACGCGTAAAAATGAAATAAATATTTCATCTCTCCCATAATATTGTTAAAAAATGATACAATTTATGTTTTAAGATATTATAGGCAAAAATTTACAGCAAAATGAATGGAATGCGAATAATAGATTACGTGTTGATTAATCTGAATATTTGACACTCACCGTAATCTTCTCTTCAAAATTTTGCTTGCCATTACTGAACATGCCAAACAACTTTCGGTGAAGAAATTTTCTTTCTGTTTTCCACAATTCACCGTCTGTGTTGACGATGCCTGTAACAATAACACATTGCAATAATTCTCGATTATCTATGACTTTGTTATCTGTCAAGTTTGACCATGTTTATATACTAAGAAGAAACCGTGATCGAAAAAAGCAAACCGAGAAATATAAAAATGATTACCAGAAAAAAATCACTCAAGAGGTTTTCCGAACCGCAAATTATTTTAGCGTAAACGTACTGTAAAAGATTAAGGAAAAAATATTTCGGCAAATATATTCGGAAATGGCGGCAATCAGTAAATATTTTTTTTATAAATCCAACAGAACGTGAATTCGCGCAAGAGATGAGCGAACCGCGCGTAGAGTGCTTTAACCTCCCTCCCCTCTTTCAAATGATACGAGAGCGAGCTAAAGTCGCGAGATAAAGCGTATTATCGGAATCTGCTGCGCTCGACACTTACCATATCCGCCGAGGATGTCGCTGAACCTGGTGTGCGGTCTGCCGCTGAATTCATCGCTACCAAATGTTTTTTTTATGATTTTAAAATCACTTAAAATGACGATCAGTTTATGGCCAAGTTTGAAGCTGCATATGGACCCGTACTGTTTTGCCAGTTTACAGTATTGCAGATGTAAGGGTTGTTTGGATTTCTGGATGGTGAACAGATAGCCGACGACCGGCATCCCCCACGGACCGGGTGGCAAAGAATTGAAAAACACTTGCTTCACTATCATCAAAACAGCTATGAACGTTAAAAGAATGATAGCGATTTTGATGTCCTTTATCGCGTCCAAGATCCATTCCACTATCATCTTGAATTCGATCAAGTACTATCGAGCAATCGATCGAAATCCAAAGCACTCGTAACGCTTTCCGCGGACTGTGTTCCTTCGGCTCTATGTCTATACTTGATCGCTGTCGCGAGAATAATGAACGGTACAATGTACAAATCGCGTCGCGATGACGAAGATATAAACTATGACTCAAGGGTGGGTTCTAGAGGGAGGTCCCAGCAGGTCAATTGACGAATAATTTTAGGACAGAAAAAGGAAGGGACCCGACAATAGAAGGGGCCCAAAGAAGAGGAAGAAGAAAAAGAAGAGTAGGAGAAAAAAAGAAAAGAGAGAGAAAAAATATCGGTCACCGCCGCAGCCGAATTCGCCGCTCGCTACGTCGTAAACCGTGCGAGCTACGAAAGGATTGAGTATGTACTAACATATACTTTCTTGTCCTTGCCTGTCTTATATACTGACTCATCAGCTGTGGTCCCCCGGCGGTCCCTTGTACAATGGAGGGGTGGCCGAACAGACAGAGAGAGAGGAACACACCGAGGGTGGGGCGATCCTGTATAGGTGGGGGATAGAATGTAGATGTTGAGTCCCAGGGGTGATGGTCATTTCCTCTTTGGGGGATGAAGTTGGTTCGAGACCACGTGGCCCTATGATCATTATTGGGTGGGACTATTGCGGTCCCCCGCGAGAGTCCAGCGTCGGCCACCCCGGTGGGGGATGCGGCGTGAGCTAACGCGCGAGGTCGCTCGTCTCGCTCGTGCCGCGTTTTGTAAGCGCGGCTCGCAGACGGCCCGACGCGACGCGACGAGCTGCGTCGTGCGTCCTGATGCTGTCACGAGAACTAGGTGTATGAAAAGAACTAGGTACGTGAGTCTGTGAAAATCCTTTTTACGTTTGTCTATTCCTTGGTTGGGTGTGTTCTTTCTATTTTACGTAGACATCTCCATGTTTGATCTTGGATTTTTCTCTTTAAGTTGGTCTCAGTGTCCCCGCGCCAAAAATCTCTCGCTTCATTTAGAAATATATCATTGGAAGCGTATAAACGATCTCAGAGAAATGTAACTCCGCGTCTGAGAGAATGGCTCGATTATTTCACTGATTAGATTATTGCGCTGTTGTATCGAGTTTAATTTAATCTAATATCATTGAACTGAAATACTCTCTCTCTTTGCTATCAAATTGAATTCAAGTTCAACCTAAAGTGTTCGATAATCTATATATAATTGAAACATCTTATAAAAGAACTATAGAACTGATAAATAAAAAGGTTTGAAGAAGGTTTAAACTCGAGAAAGTTATTGACAAGTAACTCTTTCAGTATCTCTTACAGAGATTATTCCACTTTTATAAAATCTCCTTATTTACTCATGTTAGTTATGTCATAACGCAACGCATTGCAATGTCACATTTTTATTTATAGAAAGAAAATAAGAAGCAACTATAATCATGAGTTTATAACAGAAAAGGAGCATCGTATATATAATTGCGTACATATAAAATACGTTTCATGTTTAATAAAACTTTTATTAACGCACGTAATATTTCTAAACATTTTAAATAATATTTATTAGAAATGTATCCAACAAATATTAATTATTTTATCTCACCATACATAATTAATCATTTTCTTTAAAGAAACAAATTATTATAATTAATCTCATTATATGTGGTATAAACTAGAGTAGTAAAACTCTCAATATTAAATTTAATATATAAAGAGTATAGGGAGATTCTTCTACATTCATGTCCGTGTGCTATTTGTATATGTTGCGTGAAAAGATTAATGAGGTTAACATTAAAATGCATATTCAATATTGATAAACGACAAGCATGAGTAATTTATATAGCGATTGAAAATATTACTCTGTGCACGGATATACGCTGACGCGAATACATTTTGTCGGTCGACTTGCGCGGATTATAACGTCGCAATAAATACCTATATACCTACGTGCTGGCGCGAAGAAATAACGGCCTGCCTTATAATCGGTTGCTTGCATCATAATTTGCGAATTGTGCCGATCGATGACTTTGCGCGCATCGACGTTGCCTCTCTTATCAAATCTTCGGGGTCATTTGGTCAAGACGCGCGACTTGCTCCAAGATTTCGGACGAGTCATAATCTGCGCGACGGCCGTCACGTGTAAATCTAATTAATCTCAATCGCGAATGCATTCATCGCGCGGACACCGATATTCGTAAACTTAATGAAGCCCGTAATTACGCAAATAGCAGTTTGCGAAGGCAGTAAATCACGAGCTCTTAAATGACTAATGATTCACGCGCTGGCTAACGAAGTATTATAAAATTATTAAGAACACACGTACATGTTACATGACAATCGCACCGATGTAATTGATATTTGATATGTGCGATAATTGGCTAATTAACGATTGAGGTCGCATATTGATGCGCAAGAAGTACGATAAGAAAGACAAAAAAGTAAGATTATCAAGATGCTTGTAGAAAGTTTTATTGTACCTATAAGAAATACCTATATATAGGTACGACGTGAGATACATTTGTTGAGGAGGAAATATAAGTCATTAATAATAGATGGAATAATAAATAAAAGGTTAATAGATAAAATTGTTCGTTTCGATGAGATTCCATCGATATAATTTTAGTAATAAATTTTCCTTGACGTCACACTTCGATTTCTGACTAATCACGATCGCGCATCATAGTACACACTTGCATCTCTGATGAGCTGTGTTTAGAAACAGATCAATGACCAGGGCTGCGTTTGGAAACGACCGCTTAGCGTCAAAACGTTTCTAAACGGGAATGGTATCCCTGGTCATTGATCTATTTCATCTGTCGCTGATACGTGAACTCGAGCGGTTCACATGTACTTCAAATTTATTAGTCACGAGATTTAAGAAACAACTGACGACAATCACCGATGATGTAATTGATAAAGACCATAATGTGAAGTAGAGAAGATTTCTATCAGTGTCGCTGATAGATAAGCTCGTCACGATATTACTATCTGTAATAATTTATTATACTGCATAGCCATATACATATTTAGTATCTATATAATTGACCAAGTACGGTTAATTATAAATATTAGACCAAATTTAGTCTAAAAATTAATTACACGTGCAACGTATTATATTAAATTTTACGTGATAATTAACATATTGACAATTCTTGAAATATTTTGCTTCAAGTTTATCTTATCTATTAAAAAAAAACTTATAGGAATTAAAAACCAAAACATACTTGTTTTTTGTGTTACATAATTGAAAGATATATAATAAACGATAATATTTATTCATCGATATATATTTAATGAATATTCTCAAAATATATATAGCATAATCCATATAATTATATAATTATATAATTAATATTTATAATTATATAATTATATATTTAATAAATATTTAATAAATTTGAAGTTGATTATTTAAAAAGTAAAACGTTTTGAGAAAAATGTTCCATATGAAAGTTGTAAGATTTTGAGAGAGACATAATATCAAATTGCTTTTGAGTAATTTTTCAAAGTCAGTAAAGAGATAAACATAGTTTTCTTAAACGAAACTACCCTATTCTTTTACATAAATTAATTTCTCGTAATATTCGACATAAGAAGTTATGAGAATAGAATGGCAAGCCCCTTTTAGATTTGTATCATCTATTTGGTCTGTCACGCGCCTACATTCAATTAGTCTAATCTGTCCAATTCGTCTATTTGAGTATGTACGACAATATTTAAGGTCTGTAATCAGGTACGACTGTTCAAATAATACTTATGCTTAAATACTTATGTTCAAATAATACTTATGAATAATAGGTACTATATACATAGCTACCAGTTGCTTATCGAACATATATATCAATATTATATATATTATCAATAGTATTATTATAATTAGTATTATTTCAATTATTAGGTAACATATGTGTACGCGTTCTTAATAATTTTATTTAAACAAATGGTATCTGAGTGCATATTTTGAGTCTGTGGAAAGTATGCATGTATTTCCTCGTAGTATCTCGCGGAAACGGCGTTCTCCCTTTTTCTTCTGTTTCTTACGTTAGTTTACTATAGGATAAAGAGGAAAATCGCAATCACATAAATCGCACAAAACGTAATATAAACTAGTATTTAAGATTCATTAGTAGAATAAGCATATTCAACAGAAATAAGACACGAAAGAAACGAGAGAGAAATAGGAGATTATTTGTTTTTCGATAATCATACATCATCATACGAGAAATGTGAGTTTGCCCTGTTTCTTTTTTTTTTGGGAGGGGAGATTTGATAAAAGCTAGAATTGATCAGAAAGCCTCGTATCATCATTTATAATCATCCGTAATCGCGTGTTCATCATGTACTTACACAAGAGAACGCAGGTTCACGAAAACAGTTTCAGGAATTGGATTATCCAACAGAAATTGATTTATATGATATCTCTCCCAGGCGGATCACTTGACGCCCACGGCAGACGGAATCGTTTTCGTTACGCATTTGAACGAATGAAACGCGTTCGTTTCAGTTTACGACGTTGTCCGTCTCTCCAACGAGCGGCAAGTCGCTTGCTGGCTCGCCAAAACTCGAGTCGTTGTCTACAAATGGAATTTTCATGGTATTAGCATTTTACGTTGAAGCGACGTCAGCGCAAGAGTCTCATAAAAAACCGTAAAGTTTAACTCGTGTTTCAATGCGCAAAATGCCTATCTCTTATCTTCTCCCAAAAACAAGAACATTTTCATTTAATGTTTTTAAAATTTTCTCTTTTCTTCTAAAAACATTTCTACATCGAACTTTATCCGTAAATTATTCTCAATTTAGAATTTAATAAAATTATGTTCATCTTTACCCCAAAACTATAGCAACATTTTTCTTATTGCACTTCGCGAGAGAGCATTTCATGAAAAATGAAAACACGACGAGTCATCATGACTCTGTTGAAATTTTCCGCTTTGCCGATATAATTGTGTAATTAAGTCGGCGCGTTAACGCACGTTCGATGAATTTATCCGACGCGGTAATAATCACGACGTCGTGCTCGCGACTATCTAAATTTTTGATAAGTTTCTATCAAAGCTGTTCACAGTGCAATATCATGTTCACGCGAAAGCACTCGAAATGCGTACGAGTCGGAGATTGCACTTCTTCGGTCATTGATCCAGAACATGGAGAACGTAACGATTCTCTCCCTCTCTTTCTCTTCATCATTTGCTCGATTCAGCGCAGGTCAATGTAAGGAGATATCGATACCGCGATGAACCACGCCTCGATTATCCTCGTGACTTTGTCGCGACGATGAAGGATTCCACGTGCTCCTCCAGATAACCGCGCACGACCTTCGCACGATCTTCGGAATATATCGTCGATCGCACGAACACAAGCTCTTCTTTCGCACGATCGCTCGCCGGGATGAAGAGTACAAAGATTAAATCAGTATACCTTCGATCAATCGCGAGATGACACATGCAAATTTATTATCGTCCGATACCGCTCATTGACTCATCTCTCTGGAAAAACCCGTTTTCGAAGGAAGTTGAGGAAACTTCAAATTTAATCTCTCCTTGACGAATCTAATAAGCGAGGTGTATTAATATTTAAGAGATCATTGAGCCACAAATTTATGTATAATACTGTCTGCGAAAGAATTCTTGAAAAAAATTCTTTCGCGTAGAAACTGAAGCATTTTTCTTGCAAGATGTAATATCCGTATGATTATTTAATACTGTGCGTTGAGAAAATTTCAAGATTATTAATGACCGCGTCATCTTATTGCGTCAATTAAGAGCGAAAATCGATGAAAAAGAAATTAAATATCACTAACACTAAAGCGTGATTCGGACAACGAAATAATTTTTTAATCTCGTTGCGATGGCGATTGGT